TTGGTGACGGTATGATACTTCCTGCTATTTTTAGACCTCCATTATGAACATATTCTCTTGGTAAAAATCTTCATAGTAGATTTATCTAACATTTCTTCCTTAACATTGCAGGAGTTGCATTTTTGAAGAATGCACCCGAAGGAACATATGACGCAATTATAGTAGATTCCTCAGATCCAATTGGTAATTAGATAATTCATCTGTTATTGTTATTGTCTTGTGTGGAGCTCAAGAGGCATCCTCTGGGTTTATGGATTGTGTTTCTTCACTTAGGTCCGGCACAAGAGCTATTCGAGAAGCCATTTTTTGAGTCAGTGGCGAAGGCTCTTCGGCCAGGGGGAGTTGTATGCACTCAGGCCGAAAGCATATGGCTCCATATGCACATTATTGAGGACATTGTAGCAAACTGTCGCCAGATCTTCAAGGGCTCTGTCAATTATGCATGGACAACTGTTCCTACATACCCAAGGTATTTACTTATTTTTTGTCAACTTTGTTCAGTTTGTGTGGGTCTGTGTACTTGGGAGAGAAACTTTATATGAGAAATGTTCAATAGCACACACAAACTTGAATTCCTACAGTCTTGACCTAACATGAGCATATTTAGTTATAAATAATTTAATCTATTCTTTCATGGTTTCTCCACATAGAAAGTGTCTGTTTCTTTTCAAAACCTTTTTTTGGCTCATCTTTTCCTATTCTTATTTGGAGCTGGGGCAAACTTTTTTCATTCTTTTTGGGGTTAGAGGGTGAGGATATATGTTACCGTCACCGAGGTTGATTATGATAATGAAAATCTTCAAACTTTTTGTTCCAGTGGGGTGATTGGTTTCATGCTTTGCTCGACTGAGGGGCCTTCAGTTGATTTTAAGCATCCAGTAAATCCAGTAGATGCTGATGATAGTGACAGCAAATCCAAAGGACCATTAAAGTTTTACAACTCTGAGGTTAGATTTTGCTTCAAACTTTGTGTTTTTAGTTGGCTATCGTGAATGATTCCCGCAGATTGCATTTCTCACTGAGTTTATCTTTTTTATTTGTATTTCAGATCCATACAGCAGCATTTTGTTTGCCATCTTTTGCGAAGAAAGTGATTGATGCAAAAGCAAAATGAAGGAAAATTTTGAAGAGCAATAGAGCAGAGTCAGGTGTGTTTTAGCTAAACCGTTCCATTCATGAACAAACTCTGAAATAAATTGATATGTTTAGTTTTCCCAGTATGTTTTATTTGGAGAAAGAGTATGTACGATGATCGTTGATGGATCTATATATAAATTCATGCCTTTCTCTTATGGTAGGCAGTGACCTTTTTGTTATAATTGCTATTTACCCTGATCTATACCCTCCCTGTTCTTCCCTCCTTTCAAAATTTTTATTAAAGAATTGGTCAGATCTGTGTTCATGTTGACTTTTTCTAAGTCTTGTTAGACACTTGAAATTCATAATCTGGATGTTGGTACTGGTTTCTGCTCTGCTCTTCAATCCAACTGATCTTCTGGATAACATCTAATGATTAAGATTGGTTGGATGTGCATTTGGTAGGAAATTATATGCTCACTTTTGTTTGTTTACAGCAGAATTCATAATGAACTCTACGAGAAAAACTATAGAAATGTATAATTATGGAGTATGGAGAATATTATGAAAAGAGGAACCATAGAGACAACCTTTTTTTTTTTTTGGGCGGGGGAGGGGGGGGAGAGACTAATAGATTTTGTCAAGGAAGGAAGAGTGTGTAATTGCAAATAATATATAAAATTGGACTGAAATATAGATATATCCAAGTTGAGCCATTACTGGAGTCTGGGGTTTGCCTGCAATATTTCCTTGTTTGCAGCTTTAGGTTCCATTCCACTGCATATTGTTAAGTGAGAGGACCTGGCATCTGGTGCTGCACTGGTGTACTTCTGTGCCTACGGTTTGTCTGAAACTTGTGTGGCTTGCTTGCTAGTAGTATTTGCCGGTTCTCCATTAATAAATGTATTGGTAAATTACTTTTAAACAAGTCCAATAGTAGCTCATCTTAGGAATTGAACTCCCAGGACTTAAGAATCTACCCAAGGGAAGAGGAACACTAATTCCACCGAACCAAATGGCCTGAGCAACAAACTCTGAGAACATGGAAATATTTTTTGTGTAGAACTTGCAAATACTCAGCCACCCAATTCTTTTATGGAAAAATTAACCTGCTGAGTTGAAGGCTTTTCGTCTAGATAGGAAGAGTTTTTGCACCAATTTTCTGATTTATCATCCCCAGAATCTGGTCTCTGCAATTATGGAAATATATTGTAACTGCCACCCACTTCACCACATTACCCAAGCATAGCAAGGCAGCCTCAGCCATGATCCCCCAGCCAATCCCACTTCCTCTATAAAAGAATGTCAGCCTTAACCCAGACACCCACAGAAAGAATACAAGCATCAAAACAAAACCTTTGCGCTCATTTCCGCTGTTCAACATCCTGAAAATATCAATGCATCAGCACCGCACTTCTTCTCCAATACTGAAATAACAACACTCATGTTCCACACTGCACTCCAC